CATATTTTCTTTTGAGGTTTCCATTCAGAAATTTCTATCCTCACTTTGGATTGGACTGAAAATTTAAACCATGAATACTTTTCATACCTTTATTATTTACAGACCATTCAACTTCTACCCTTTATTCTAAGTTAATCTTATACTTGCTATTAGATAAAAGTACATCCTTTGGTTGTTTATAATACATAAATCACTGCATGTTTCTTCAGGATTTTTTTAGAAATCTCTTTAGGCTCTGGACACTGAGAAAGTCTTGAGCAATGGTGTTTCTTAAATCTTAGATTTGTTAAAGAAACTGGAGAGGGAGTAAGACAATCCCAAAGGGAAACTCGTTCCCCTGGGGCCACATCTAATAGAAGAATTGCTTTAGAAAGAAAGAGGAAAAAAAAAAGTGAGTGCTGGTATGTGGGACTGGAGGAGGTGAAGGAAATGGATCTCATACAGGGTTCTAACTCTGCTTCCAGAGGCTAAACTTGGAAGAACATGATTCCCTGATCCCCAAGAGGGAAACCCTCCAGAAACAAACAATCAAGAAAGCAATTAATTTAATAAGATGATTTCACTTCAAAATAACCCCCTGTGCCTGCTGCTCCCAGCTCATTTTTCCCAGGCCAGGGGGAAAAGCCTCTTGGCCCACTCCAGATATTGGTTTGGCCCTGGGTTCCTGTGCTTAGCTCTTAGGCCCTGCCATGTGGATACACAGTGTTGTTCTCATGTTTTCTCCTTTGGGAGAAGCAAAGATAATAGGCTCAATCTTCAGACATTTCATCATGACGCCTTAGCTTTGCTCAGAAGTGCTGTGGCAGAGGTAAGAGGGGGCCAAAGCTTTTAGCCTTGCATAGGAAGGAATGTGGAGAGATGAAAAATACACAAAAATTAACAGAAGTTCCTAGCTCTGGAGAGAGCTCTCTAAGCCTCTCCGTGCCTTGAGTTTTTATTTCCAACTTTAGGTCTGCTCTCCTTTTACTCTGCCTTTCAGTGTGTAGTTTTCTCCCTCATAACACTCTCTCTACTCAACTGGACACTTCCTCTAGAGGGGACATTTCCACATCTACGGAGCATCTCCCCCAGGTTAACCCCAAGCTACACACTGAGTGCTTATGTCTTGCTTTCCTGGGAAGGTGAAAAAACGCAGGTAGAAATGTATGCACGCAGTATGAGATCTTGCTCCACGCGTGAGTCAGTGGAGGCCAAAGATGGAGTGGTCCTCACTGCCTGGGGATAGCAATACAGATGTCAGGACCAAGTGTGGAAGGAGTGATGGAACTATTCTGGACTCCAGGTGAGGAGGGCCGGTAAGTACAAAAAACCAGAGCTATGAAATCACATGGATCTCCCTAAAATTGTAAGATGTTGAGCAGCTACTAATTTTCCACAAGGCTAAAACGATCTTTCTCAAGGTTGATCGGTTAATATTCCTAAAGCATTTAAAAATCACATCCCTCATTAATAGTGGTGATCCATGCATGAAATCCCAGCTACTCGAGAGAATAGTATAAGGGGTACTGGGCAATTTAGAAAGCTCCTATCTCAAAATTCTTTTAAAAATAGGTCAGCCCTGGTGGCACATGTCTGCAATCCCAGCACTATGGTAGGCTGACACAGCAGGAACATAAACTCAAGTCCAGCTTGGGCAACTTAGAGCGTTAGGGAGACCCTGTGTCAAATTTAAAAATAACAAAAAGAATCTGGGATAGAGCTCGTTACGAAAGCTTTGGATTCAATCCCCAGTGCTGAAATTTTAAAAAATAGTAAGAGAAGGGAATGAAAAGATAGGAAAGAAAAGAGAAGGAAAGGGAAAGAACGGAGGGCAGAAGGAAAGGCAGGTAGGGGCCACATTCCTCAAGTTGATCCTCAGGATTGCAAGGCAACAACATTTTTCTGTATCAGTTCACCTAGGCCAATTCCAAGTTTAGTTGTTGTGACTTGTGCGGCAGTGAACTCGAGTATGCAGACGTCTCTTTCACACACTGATTTCATTTCCTTCCAGTATCTACCAAGGAGGGATACAATGGTTAAATTTTCAGGTTGTAGCAGTTAGGTTTCCAGGTTTTCAAGGAAACTTCATACTGATCAGCACAGTGGAAACAGCACATCCTTGCCATGACGATGTTCTTCTGTTTTCCTTTTTTTAAAATTTATTTTATTAGTCCATGTGCACAGTGCATCATCTTTACATTCCTTGTGTGCAGTTGGTGCATGACACAGCACATCCTAATTCCTTTTTTCGTCTCCTTCCCCTCCTTCCTCCCCTTTCCTCTATCTCTTGATCCCTGTCCCATCTGAGAAAGACCCATCTCCCTACTTCCCCAGCATCTATCTTTTAGTTTGCTCTTTATCTATATGTTGGGCTTCTCACATAAGAGAAACTAGGTGGTGTTTAAGCTTGTAGGTCTGATTTGGTAACAGGCATTCTAATTAGGGTGAGATCAAATCTCAGTGTAGTTTTGATTTACAGTTCCCTGTGATTAGAAGAGGAAGCCTGAGTAAGAATGAAATAGTGCTTTTGGCAGGGAAATGGATGGAACTGGAGACCATCAAGTCAAGTGAGATCAGCCAGTCACAGAAAGACAAGCGTCACATATTCTCCTTCATGTGTGGAAGCTAGGAAAACATGAAAAGGAAGTCGAAGGTGGACGATTAGGAAAGGGGAAGAGGAACAGAGTGGGGGTAAGGAGAAGGAGAAAAAACAGGGGAGTAAGGAGGGCGGATATGATCAAAGCATGACAAATGCACGCGTGGAACGGTCACAGGGAAATCTATTAATCTGCACAATTAATTCACATTAATGATTAAAATGTAGCTGGGGATTTGGCTCAATGGTTCCACCACCTGCAAGCACGAGGGCCTGAGCTCAATCCCTGGAAATAAATAAATGATTATAATGTAAAAAAACAAAAAGCAGCAACATTTCCTTTTTATGGCTGTTTTGAGACAAGGTCTTGCTATATAGTCCAGGCTAACCTTGAATGAGCTGTGTAGCCCAGGTTGGCTTCAAACTCATAGCAATCCTCCTGCCTCAGCCTCAAGATCACTGGGACTAAAGGCATGCGCCACTACACCTGGCTACCAGCAACACTTCCACGATACCTAAAGGTCCAGGAAGGCAGAGCCTGTGCTTCTTATTTTTCTACTTAGCCTAGTGTCTGGCAACCAGTGGGCACTCAAATAATTGTGGAATCAACAAACCATGAGATGTAGACAGTCATTTATATGTCTTCAAATGTGTAAATACCATCATGGCAGAGAGAAATGATCTTCAAAAGGAGGGACTAAGACCACGTAAGTTAAAAGTGAAACATATTCCAGCTCAAAGGATGATACTTTTTCTTACACGTGCATGAAACTATGGACCACTGCTTGTGACAAAGGTCTGATGTTCAAACAGGAAGTAAGATCGATTGACTGATTTTGTAGTGCTGGGGATTAACATCAGGGCCTCGGGCATGCGAGCCTAGTTCTCTACCACTGAGCTATACCACCCTGCACAAGCGTTATTTTTCTAATGGAGAAAATCAATTGAAAAGTAAATGGCTCTCGTGCTCTTCTCAGTCAACTGAAAACCCTCCCGATAAATGGTACCTTTAGGACTAGAGCTGTAACTCAGTGGTACACTCTGTTCAGCACACACACACATCCCTGGATTTAAACCTCAGAACCAAACTAATAAAAACACTTTTGTTTTGTTTTTTGGTGCTGGCGATAGAACCAAGGGCCTTGCGGGGGCTGGGGATTTAGCTCAGTGGTTCTGCAGCCTGCCTCACAAGCACGAGGACCCAAGTTGGATCCCCGGTACCCCTCAAAAAAAAAATAAGAGAGAGAGAGAGAGAACCAAGGGCTTTGCACATGCTATGCTGGGGACTAAACATGCTGAGCACATTTCCTATCCATCAGCCACATCCCAGCACCTCATGAAAGGGATTTTATGATACGGAATTACTGCTACCCCACCCTGAAGATGTCTTCTGTCATCCATTCAAAAAGCATTTTAATAGACCCATTAGTTATACTCATTCCTGCAGGAGACTCATTCCAGGATACCTCATTAAGTGCGGGTACTAGAGTCCCTTACATAAAATGGCACAGTATTCGCATATAACCTAGGCAAGCCCTTCTGTATACTTAAAATCGTCCCTAGATGACTTACCATACAAGTACAATGCAAGCGTTAGGTGAATAGGTGTTCTGCTTCAATAGTTGTGTGAGGGAACAATGACCAATAAAAGTCTGCACGTTCAATACAGACGTAATTTTTTCAAGTCCTTTTGATCCACAGTGGGTTGAATCCACAGAAGTGGAACCTAGTGCCTGCAAAATAAAATGAAAATATAGCAGAGAAGGTAGAGTTGCCTCAGTGTAGATAAATTGAAGAACTACCACAGTGAACATTCAGAACACAGAATCATGGCGGGAGACATGTTACAATACAGTGATCATTGTGATGGAGATGGAGGGGTAAATTGAGACAGGACTGAAGAACTTACTAGAATAAGTAAGGGGTGGTTTCCTACAATACCTTTGTGCAATATCCTTCTCTGAATCAGACTTGAGACAAAGGGTAGTCTGTTTTATATCACGGCGAAATTGCATGAGGACAATAAGACATCATTAAGAGGCTGGAGTAGAGCTCAGTGGTACAGCGCTCGCCAGGCATTGATGCTTTGGGTTTTATCCTCAGCACCAGACAAAAAGGACTTGAGGAGAGCAGGGCTAACAGAAGAAAGGAGACATTCATAGGCTCAAGAATTATACAGCAGAAATGGAACAGCCCCAAGACGATACGTAGTATTTTAAACATTTATTTTAAAGATAAAGTATCAGCCAGGCAATGGTGTCAGACGTGCAGAAGACTAGGCAGACTTAAAGAGATCTTGGTCCGCTAAAGAGAACAAAAACACTCAGATAAGACACAAGGCTTCAAGGGTAAATGAATTTAAAGCGTATGCCACATTCCTGTTTTAACCAGGCCTGCCTCCTTAGAGCCAATTTTGATGAGTTACATGGATCCAGAGAATCAAACAGCTATTTCAAAATTCCTCCTTCTGGGGCTTTCAGAAGATAAGAGCCTGCAGCCCCTTCTGTTTGGACTGTTCCTATTCATGTACTTGGTCTGTGTTACGGGAAACCTGCTCATCATCCTGGCCGTCAGCTCTGACTCCCACCTCCATACCCCCATGTACTTCTTCCTCTCCAATCTGTCCTTTGTGGACATGTGTTTCACCTCCACCACGGTCCCAAGGATGCTGGTGAACATCCAGACACAAAACAAAGCCATCAGCTATAATGGATGCTTTACACAGATGTATTTCTTCATGATTTTTTCTGGGATGGATAGTTTACTACTGACTGTGATGGCCTATGACCGTCTTGTGGCAATATGTCACCCACTGCACTACCTGGTCATCATGAACCCTCGGTTTTGTGGTCTTCTGCTTCTGCTTTCTTGGCTAATCTGCCTGACGAATTCTTTGTTGCAAAGTTTGATGGTTTTGAGAGTATCCTTCTGCAAAGAAACTGAAATCCCCCACTTCTTCTGTGAACTTTCTCAGGTGCTCAAGCTTGCCTGTTCAGACACCTTTGCCAATGATCTTCTGCTGTACTGTGTAACTGGCCTACTGGGTGTTGTCCCACTGTCAGGAATTATTTTTTCTTATTCTAGAATTGTGAACTCCATAGTGAGAATTTCATCTCCTGGAGGGAAGTGCAAAGCCTTTTCCACCTGTGGGTCTCACCTGTCAGTTGTCTCTTTGTTCTATGGCACAGGCCTTGGGGTTTACCTTACTTCTGGAACAGCCCATCCCTCCAGAGAGGGTGCAGTGGCCTCAGCGATGTACACTGTACTTGCCCCCATGCTAAACCCCTTCATCTATAGCCTTAGGAATAAGGAGTTGAAGGGGGCTCTGAGGAGACTTTTTCAGCACAGGTTGGTCACAGTGCGATAATGTAAGTTAAGGAAAAACTAGAGAAATCAAGACTTCTGATGACTAGTGTGTTTCTTCACTAATGTCTGAAGACTAATCTGAAGACACACAAAAAAATACCACTCATGAAATACTAGAAGAAAATATTCTGGAACTGAAGACAAATTTGAAGTAGCACATCAAAAGGCTTGTTTTCACCTGGGGGTATTGCTCAGTGGTAGAGTGTTTGCCTACATTGGGCAAGGCCTTAGGTTCAATTCCCGGCACCATTAAAAAATTTTTTGTAATTTAAAGGCTTACCACCAACTAAAGAAAATAATAGCCAACCAGTACCAAGACTTTGAAAAATAGATTATTTCAAGGATGGACTCTTCCAATTGTCCAAGAAAGAGAAAACAAGTCAAAGAATATAACAAGGGGGAAAACAGGACAAGAGTAACATTATTTACACATTCCTAGTTCACTTTTATACCTTCTGGTCATGTGCTAGCTCCGTGAGTGCTGGACTAAGTTTTTCCCTGGTCTCTGTGTGGAAAGTGTGTTACCTGGACTGTCTTAAACTGACTTCCCTCTTGCACTGTAAATTTTTACTTACTGAACTTTGCTTCAGTGTGTGTTATTAGGTCTTGGAGTGTAACTCAGTGGTAGGATACTTGGTTAGCATGTACAAGACACTAGGTTTGATACCCAGAACCACATAAATAAATACATAAACAAACAAACAAATAAATAAATAAAGTTTTTCTCATTTAAAAAATACTTCTGGGCCTGGGCCAGGGTTTTAGCACAGTGGTTCCACCACCTGCCTCGCAAGCACAAAGACCTGAGTTCCATCCCTGGTACAAAAAAAAAAAAAAAAAAAAAATTCCCAGGGAAACCCCCCTCTTTAAAGAAA